GGGGACACAGCAGACAGTACAGCTGTGTTAGAACGTAACAGCTGTGAAACAATGTGAAATGTTTATCTGACTCACTGCTTCATTTTTGGTAGTGGTTTTTCCCATTCTCCCATTCATTCTCTACCTTGTTCTTTTTTTTTTAAGTATATCTTTTTTTTCTCAGCTTTTATGCCTTTATTTGATAGGACAGCTGGAGACAGACAGGAAAGGGGGGCAGAAAGGGCCACAGGTCAGATTCGAACCCTGAGCTCTACCCACTGAGCTAACTAGGCGCCCACTCTCTACCTTGTTCTACCTCAGCTGACCTGGGAGGAGGAGACAACTTTGAATGGTGCATTTACAAACAGCAAAGGAAAAATCACACATTGTAAGTTTTTACCGCCGCAGCTGCAGGGATGAAACCGTTTTTAGGTGACTCACATCTCGACTCAACATCAGTATGAGGTACCAGCACAGAAAAGTGAAAACCCAGCCCCTGGTTACCATGCCAACGACATCTGTGGTGTACCATAAGTACTACTTAATCATTTTAGTGCTCTAGTATTTTCCAGTATATATTTTCTTCAGAATGACACTTAAAGAGTTTGTTCTACCGGGTCCCTCCCTGCTCCTGGCCTGCAACAGGAATCCCTGGAACTCTGTGGAGCTGTTCTTCACCACCTCCAACGTCACTGCAAGTAGACAGCGAGGGAGGTGAGAGGACGGAGGGATTCATGTTAATATGAGACAGATTGACAGACAACATTGGTACATTGGTGCAAAGGGAGGAAATAGAAGGACATTATACAATGTATGTGCAACTGGTCCAACAGAGTGGAATAACACCAACGTATGCTGTTGGAGGAGAAGGGGGATTCTGAGGTCAGAGTTATGCGGATGACATCCACTAATATGACATCCGGTTTGCCTAAAACCATGTGAATGCAGCATAAGTTCCTCTAAACATGACCTATGACCTCTGAGCTCAAAATTCATCCAAATTTCTGGTCTTACACAAACTTCCAGCAGTTTTTATTTGTTTGAGTTCATTGTACAGTAGTTGTTAGTTGTTCTCTACTGTTATTGTTATGCATTAAATATTATATGAAATATACATAAAATATCTCACTCAGTCAGTTTAGTCAATGATAGAAAAGGGCTCTCTTAAGGAAAAAGGGTGGGAACCAGTTTAGTATAGCA